ATCTCTGGAAACGAGGCTTTAATGGTCCGGTCATTCGTTGGCACCCTTCGTGGGCCCGCCTTCGATTGGTACCGACGGCTCAAGCCAGGGAGCATCAATTGTTGGGATGACATAGAAAGTTTGTTCCTCAGCAATTTCTTCGATGATGACACCGAAGTGTCAATCGGAATCCTTTTGGATGAGAAGCAAAAAGACGGAGAGTCAGTTGACAATTTTGTCAAACGTTTCCGTAACAAAGCAATGAATTGCAGAGATCCTATTACAGATGAGTTCATCCTGCAAACATGCCACAATAACCTCTCCATCGATGTCTTGGAAGCTCTGGGGGTTGAGCCGTCCACAACTTGGAAGGAGTTAAAATTTCGTGGCGAACAAGCTGAACACTTTCTTAAGAAGATGATGCCCCCAGCCATATTGGAATACCTCCTCGCTAATGACAAAATCGAGCTACCACCTATTAAAGATCAGGATGGAGCTAAGAGAGTTACGGATCCAAACTACTGTGCGTATCACAGAAGGATTCTTCATCCCACCGAAATTTGCTTTGGACTCAAAAACAAAATCCAAGCCTTAATTGACTCCGGCGTCATAACGGCGAAAGAAGTCGAGTAAAGACATTGGAATACCTCCTCGCTAATGACAAAATCGAGCTACCACCTATTAAAGATCAGGATGGTGCTAAAATGATTATGGATCCAAATTACTGTGCGTACCACAGAAGGGTTCTTCATCCCACTGAGATTTGCTTTGGACTCAAAAACAAGATCCAAGCCCTAATTGACTCCGGCGTCATAACGACGAAAGAAGTCGAGTAAAGACGACCATACAACTCCAATGGGTACACGAATCTAAACTGTTTCCCCACACTCCAAAGAGCATATGAGTATAAACTGCTTCTCGATTATCCAACTGAATACAATGTTAAACCCGGTTTCGCAAAGGAAACTGGGGGTGGATGATCCATGTAACGGGAAGTTCCTAGAGAATCTTATATTCTTAAGGATAACCCGAACATGCGACTGAGGATAACGTACTCCTCGTTACACCCAGTTTTGCAAAGAAAGCTGGGGGTGGATAATTCATGTAACGGGAAGTTCCCGGAAGAATGTTAAATGTAATATAACCCGATTATTATGGACAGAATGATAAATACTAAGCTCCTATTATGATTTTCGAACACTCTTTTGCTGAGATGAGATTCGATCGCTTCGTTAGATCAATCTTCCCTCACAAAACCCATTTGGTCAAACCTTTAAACAGTTAGGACCGAAGCCAAAATCCCCTCTCGATTCGTTCCATGAACGGGAGGTCCACAAATTGAACGATCAAACCTTTAAACAGTTAGGATCGTCTTAACTACCCATTTGGTCAAACCTTTAAACAGTTAGGACAAAAGCCCCCTCTCGATTCGTTCCATGAACGAGAGGTCCACAAATCGAACGATCAAACCTTTAAATAGTTAGGATCGTCTCAAATTCCCATTTGGTCAAACCTTTAAACAGTTAGGACCAAAGCCAAAATCCCCTCTCGATTCGTCCTATGAACGAGAGGTCCACAAATTGAACGATCAAACCTTTAAACAGTTAAGATCGTCTCAAAATTCCCATCTTGGTCAAACCTTTAAACAGTTAGGACCAAAGCCAAAATCCCCTCTCGATTCCTTCCATGAACGAGAGGTCCACAAATTGAACGATCAAACCTTTAAACAGTTAGGATCGTCTCAAATTCCCATCTTGGTCAAACCTTTAAACAGTTAGGACCAAAGCCAAAATCCCCTCTCGATTCGTTCCATGAACGAGAGGTCCACAAATTGAACGATCAAACCTTTAAACAGTTAGGATCGTCTCAAATTCCCATCTTGGTCAAACCTTTAAACAGTTAGGACCAAAGCCAAAATCCCCTCTCGATTCGTTCCATGAACGAGAGGTCCACAAATTGAACGATCAAACCTTTAAACAGTTAGGATCGTCTCAAATTCCCATCTTGGTCAAACCTTTAAACAGTTAGGACCAAAGCCAAAATCCCCTCTCGATTCGTTCCATGAACGAGAGGTCCACAAATTGAACGATCAAACCTTTAAACAGTTAGGATCGTCTCAAATTCCCATCTTGGTCAAACCTTTAAACAGTTAGGACCAAAGCCAAAATCCCCTCTCGATTCGTTCCATGAACGAGAGGTCCACAAATTGAACGATCAAACCTTTAAACAGTTAGGATCGTCTCAAAACTCCAACTTGGTCAAACCTTACTACAGTTAGGACCACAACCAAAATCTCCTTTCGATTCATTTTTTGCGAACGAAGGGTCCACTTTTGAATTGAGTAATCAAACCTTATGACAGTTAGGATTATTCAAACCAATCCAGATTCTCTAAGTGGAGATCCCACTTTGAGTTTCTTTACTCCAGGAGATAGAATATAAAATTCTTTCTCTCCGATTCTGGGTTTATCTCTACCAACAAACAAGAGACCAGGAGATAGAATATAAAATTCTTCCTCTCCATCATCGGGTTCATCTCTACCAACAAACAAGAGACCAGGAGATAGAATATAAAATTCTTCCTCTCCGACCATCGGGTTCATCTCTACCAACAAACAAGAAACCAGGAGATAGAATATAAAATTCTTCCTCTCCAATTCCGGGTTTATCTCTACCAACAAACAAGAGACCAGGAGATAGAATATAAAATTCTTCCTCTCTAATTCCGGGTTTATCTCTACCAACAAACAAGAGACCAGGAGATAGAATATAAAATTCTTCCTCTCCGATCATCGGGTTCATCTCTACCAAAAAAAAAGAGACCATATTACTCCAATAGGTACACGAGTCTAAACTGTATTCCTCCCCTCAACAGGAAGTTTCTGGAGAATATCACTTAAAATATTCTTAAGAATAACCTGTCTACCTCCCAACGGGTATACGAGGTTAAACCGTTTCCTGAGAACTCCAAAAAATACATAAGTATAAATTGTGTTCCTATGAAGACTGATACGATGATTAACAATGCGGTATCAATTTGATGATAAAAGCTGAATTCACAAGTACAAACTCCAGCTTCAATTCAAGATCTCGACAACGGTCAAGCGATGAACGTCATGCCGAAAGAATCTTAGCTATTCTACAAAACACCGAATAGACTGAGAGACAAAGAGATCAAGTGTTGAAGCCATCATAAGTAAGACCTATCTTATCCAAAGCATCCCAGAACTCCTCTATAAAAGATTGAGTCTGGAATACTTTGGAGGGGGTATCTGTAAGCGTCAAAAAATGCTGATGGATATCCAAATACAGCTTAAAAGGAGATCATCCAAAGATCAAAAGAACATAAGAAACAAGTGTTTGCTGTCTCGGGCGCCAGACAGTGTTTTACTGTATCGCCAGACAGTCTTTTACTATTTCGAGAGACAGTGTTTTACTGTTTGGAGAGACAGTGTTTTACTGTTTGGAGAGACAGTCTTTTACTGTTTGGAGAGACAGTCTTTTACTGTTTGGAGAGACAGTCTTTTACTGTTTAGAGAGACAGTCTTTTACTGTTTCGCAAGACAGTCTTTTACTGTTTGGAGAGACAGTCTTTTACTGTTTGGAGAGACAGTCTTTTACTGTTTGGAGAGACAGTCTTTTACTGTTTGGAGAGACAGTCTTTTACTGTTTGGAGAGACAGTCTTTTACTGTTTGGAGAGACAGTCTTTTACTGTTTGGAGAGACAGTCTTTTACTGTTTGGAGAGACAGTCTTTTACTGTTTGGAGAGACAGTCTTTTACTGTTTGGAGAGACAGTCTTTGAAACGTGGGAAGGTAGTTAAAACGAAAACTGCCTGACGGTTACTATTTCCGAGACAGCGTTTACTGTCTCGCGGGTCGAGACAGCAAACACTGTCTCGCCCGTCGAGACAGCAAACACTGTCTCGACAGCCGAGACAGCAAATGCCGTCTCGCGAGCCTGTTTTCCGCCAACTGTTCCTATGGGTTATAAATACCCCCTGAAGGCCATTTTTGAAGGGGCTGATCAGAGAACGTCCACAAGCTGATTTCAGAGCAGAGAGGGCAGAGTACTCGAGCTTCGGGCAACTTCTTGATATTCAGGCTTTGACTTGATTTCAAGAAGAACGACTATCTTACCTTGATAAAATATCGTTTCAAGTTCTCACTTCGATAAACGAAGTCAGAATCATAAACCCCTCACGATTCGATCAGAATCTGTGATTTGGTGGTCCACGGGCTAACGCACCCCCGGCACAGGCAAAGATCCCACGCAAGCAGTGATCCAAACAACGATCCTGCGTTTGTTTCCCAAGAGTTGTAATTTTCATTTTGTTGTGTAAAAGAAGTCTTATAAAAAGGCTATCTCTTTTTTTGAATTTATTGTAATCGACTGAAGATATAATGAATTCCATGACAAAACCAACTTTTGACGCAAACAATATATTCGCATGTATATCCGTAACCGTATCCGATTTTAGCGGATATGATTATAAAATTTTCTTACTGAGGTATATTCGTATTCGTATCCGTATCCGAGATGGGTAAGCGAATATGGATATGATAAGCATCACATCCGAGCCGTATCCGGACCGAATGCACCCCTAATTGCGATAGAGTCGGTCTGATGGTGAACTCTCACTTGCGCTTGGTTATCTCAAGAATGTTCATGAGAGTTATTTCGATACAACTGATGTTTCAATGAGTGATGTGAGGGAGCTGCTTTAAAGACTTGTTTGGAAATTTTAAGGACATTAGGTTGTTTTTCCCCCTCCGCAGTTTGAGATGATTGTATATCTCAACCTGCATGTGGTTTTGTAATTAGTCTTCATTAAGCAATAAAGTGGTTCTTTTAACATTAGAACTTTTGATCAGCATTGTTGTTACGGTTTATGAAGCAATAAATTTTGTTCTTTGCAAAAAAGTTATTTAATCTTTAATGATCATAAATTGAGAGCTCACGAAATAGGATTGAGGAGGAAACTTCCTTCTCCACGTCACAATCATTTCCTTCTCTTGTTTGAGATGCATAGTATGAGAATATCATTTAAATGACGTACAGATACAACAAAATATTAGAAATTCAAATATAGTCACAAACTCTGACACTATATAGCATCACCCTTCCGCGGAGAATGCAACAGCTACATAGAACTTTAGCCATGAGCTGCTAATAACTAAACTAACCCTCTCTATTTTCAGTCCAAAAAAATAATAATAATTTCAACTTACAATCGAGAAATCCGTATGTGAGTTGAAGAAATTATCGGGTGTGAAGGCTTTAGAAATTGTTCCTCTCTTCAACTCAGGCCGCAAATGCTCAACTCTTCATGTGGCCATTCGCCTGCGAAGTAGTTGGTCTGTCACAATTTTGTGTTAGCCATATTCCACCATCAAGTAAAATGCTCAGAAAAAAATGACTACAGCACGTATTATACACGTCTATTGTAGAAAGAGTGCAATGGTTTTGTATCCAAAACAGTTCTAGACTATTTATGGATGCTTCATGCTTGTGACCCGGCTAGAAAATTAGCATAACAGAATGAGGCGTTGTCTTATCATTTGTTTATTTCATGACCATGTTCTTCAGCAAGTATATGTATAATATCCCAAAGGAAGAAATTATGAAAATGTCAAAATATTCAGACCTACAACATTTTCTTCCATTTAATCTTGGAAATTATTTGCATTTCCAATCAAAATGATTTTTTTTAATTTAACATCAATATATTTATACTTCCATGGATTTGTTAGTTTAAGCTTCTATACAGGATATTGTACATGCTGTCAGCATAGCAAAACATCTACGAAGGCAAAGAAACCTTACGGGATAGCTACATTTGCAAAGCCATTTCTATGTGCAGTCACCACATGATCTAATTAGACACGGGTAAACTAAAGCTTACTACTATTTAAAGGCAGAGTTATATATGGATGATTCAGAAAGCAAAATCGAAAAAAAAAAAACAAAGAAATAGGAATAGGACTTATGGTGGAAAGAAATGAGCAGAAGCTTACTTCATCGGAAGATTCAATGGAAGATTTTTGTGAGTGTAATTGACACCTTTATCACCATCCACAACCTGACCACTTCCTCTTAAAATCCTACATATGAAGAGTAAAATCATATAACAAGAAGAGGTGCCAATGAATTTCCATATATTACCAACGAAAACTTTTTATAATTCAGAAAAGTCACTAAAGTATAAGCGGCTAACAATCAAATGGTAATGGACCGGAAGCTAAACAACATGATGTGTTCTAGAGAACCATGGTAATCTACATGGTCCTCTAGAAACAGTCACAGTAAAGAGCGTTCACAAATAACAAGTCATGAGAGAAGAAGCACAACTTACCATTTTGTCGTTAGGAGTCCTTCAACGCCAACAGGACCACGAGCATGTATTCTGCTTGTACTTATGCCGACCTTATCAACCATAAAAAAGTATAGTTTAGAAAGTTAGTAAAAGAAAATAGTTTAGAGAGTTGGTCACCAAGAAAACACGAACATGTTGCCAAATGTACATACCTCCGCGCCTAGTCCAAAACGAGCTCCATCACAAAAACGTGTGCTTGCATTGTGAAAGACAGCAGCACTGTTCAGGACAAAAACTGTTACTTGCTTTTCCATACACAATGCATGACGAGTCGAGAAAATTACTCAATAAAATATTAATGAAATTAAAAGGAATTATTAACAGATGTCATACAAAATCAAAAGTGTTAATGGCTCAAGACACCAACACACCTGTCAACTTGGTGAAGGAAAACCTCTGCAACACCACGATCTTCTGTAATTATGCAGTCAGTATGCGCACTGTAAAGGAACAAAAATTATATACTTTCCCTTTTAATTGACATCCTAAACATATGGGAACCTTTCACTTGAATCCAAATTACTAATTGGCTCTTAAAGCTGGTGGTGAAGATAAACCGTTCAAATTGATGATAAATGTTTAGGAAATTGAAGATGATATACAGTACAACATACCTCCCATGGTGATTTATATGGTTGATTGCAGCATGTACATCATCAACAAATTCAACTGTGCAGGCCATTGAGTTGTACTCATGATCAAAGGTATGTGCTAAAGGAAGGTCTAACTTAGCATTTGCTTGTCGTCCACCATACAGAGTAACACCTGCAATGCATATGGCTAATGGTTATAGCACAAAGAAAAAGACAGCATGGAACTACGTTCTGTGGTTACATTTCTAATATATAATTAACATCGCTTTGAGTTCCTTCTCTTGTTCTCGTTCTGCGTGAATTAAGAGTGGAATAATGTCATGGATAAGGTAAAGTATTAATATGTCTCTGTCAGACATCTAATTACGTTTAGGGTGTCAGCTGTAGTACCTTGAGCTTTGAGTTGAGATATTAGATCACGAAATCCTGAAGTCTCCACAAGTTCTTTGTGTACAAGAAGTGTTTCCTGCATATAACAAAAAGCTCCCAATCAAAAGTTGGACGGGTAGACATACAAGTGTTAGTTGACTCATCAGCATGTCTTGATGATAGACTAAGGTAGATGATGGTCAAAACTAAGATATAATCAGTAACATTGGTCAAGCCAGTGTTATAATCTTTTTGAATGAAATTAGAAAGAATACCATTGCATTGCAGGCTGCAGGATAATCTGTCTTTGCATCCAAGACAACGTGTTTTGCCTTATCCATGTTAGCTGATTTGTCAACATAAACATGACAAATTCCATCTGGATTAAAAAAAATCATCAAACTTAGACCTTAAAAGTTAACTATTTTCCAAAATGTTGTCTCTCGCCATATTCACATTCACAAGAACTAGTTAGCTTACCAGAATGACCTAGAACAGGAATCTTTGTTGACTCCTTAATTTGAGATACAAGCTGGTTGCTGCCTCTTGGAATCACAAGATCAATCACATCATCAAGCTGGAAAGAATTAAGTGGTGAAGAATGTGTATTATGAATAAGATCCCCTATAGTTTTTGTTACACCTCTACGATACAACTCACCTTAAGAAGATCAGGAATTTCATCTCTTGATGTGACAAGTCCTATAAGCTTTTGACCAACACTATCTGGGATGGCTCTGGTAATAATCTAAGGGGGAAAAAATATCACTACACAATTATGTAACAGAGAATTGAGAAAATAGATAATTCCCCTATAATCCCAGATATTAAGTACTAACCTTATGCAATACTGCATTAGATCTCATGGCTTCTTTCCCACCTTTCAGGAGAAGACCATTCCCACTACGAACTGCTAAAGATGCAATCTACCAAAGGAGGAAAGTCACTGGCATCAATAATCAAATTGTACTCACAGGGAAAAAATAACTAACAGTAAGAATAATTAAAAATTGTTAGCTTACCTGAACTAATGCATCAGGTCGTGACTCGAAAACAATCAGTAGAACTCCCAATGGGCACGATGTCTTGTCCAAAATTAGTCCATCAGCAAGCTACATGACATATTTGAAATGCAATTTTGCATTAGATTATGACTGAAACATATTATAACAGTTCCATATTCAACTTTTGCTTATAAACACAAGAACGAAACAAATTTGCTGATTCATAGGAAGTAAAATAAATTTTAATTTAAAGAGAAGAATAACCCATCTGATTCAAATAACTCACCTCTGTTCTCTTTAAAACCTGCCCAATGGGATCCTCCATGTCTGCAAGTACACGGATGGATTTTGAGAGGCTCGATATCTGTGATGAAGTTTTAGAGAATAAGTTATCTATATAATTATTTCAGGTACAAATCACTTTGAATTAAAAAGGAAGACAGGAATGGGATCTAAATTACAAACCAGACGAGTTAAACACCTCCAAGAGATAATAACATATTAACAATAAGTAAAACTACTGGCTAAATTACATACCTTTCCTGGCTTCAGAGTCAACCGGGATATCAATGACTGTTCATACCCAGCCTTTTGGGCAGCAACAACATCAGCCTTATTTTCAGTTTTAATTAACTCCTCGTTAGCTTCTAAAGCATCAGCAATATCCAGCAAGATCTTCCTCCGTTCCTCTGAAGATAAGCTCTGAAATATTTATTTAAATGTACTTATGATCACCATAAACAATTAAAGTGCATCTTAACAAAATTTAATAAAAGAGAACATATCATGATGCTCAACATATATTGGGCCTCAGGTCTAATGCAATTCAATAGTCTTGATTCTTTCTATTTACTGGAAGTTGGGAGGTGCGTGCTCTGCTACATCAGCTCAAGCTGCATGACAATAAGGCAAGTCTTCCTGACGTTACCAAGTGATATTCTTGTTTCATGGCAACGCCTTCTCGACTTGTATCTAGTTGTGAGTATTTGTCGCCCCGAACTACGGGGTTCACATCAGGTGGGAAGTTTTTTGCCAGTTCTTTTCCCAAGATGTCATTGGAACCATAATAGTAACTGAACTGAGACCATGTAGATGGAAGGAGGTATGAATTTTGATGAAGATAAAGGTGATGGTGATGAATATGGTGCATATGTTGATAAAGGTCTTTACTGAAGGTGTTTTCTATATATAGTAAAGAATATGAATGCCATGTTGGTCAACGTTATATATACCTGAAGTCGTCTTGAACTTTCCCTCGCTGAAACTGCCATATCACGCGCACCAGCTTCCTGTGGATATACCCACAGATGCGCATCTTGATGGAAAACTGTTCCAATCCTCTCTCCTCGAAGTACTTTGATGATGTTATCGGTGGCAAAACCACTTCAATAACAAAGAAAACAATCAAAAACTTATTTCAGATGTACCCCTACAGAAAAATTTAACAGGCACCCAGTAGGACCGACTTCCAATAATTGGCCACAAGTCAACACAAACTAAAATAGTTCAATTCAAGAAAAATAAAAGAAAAATCTTTGCTCACGTAATAACATAGATACGACAAAATCCAGTGGTGCGTCTGGTGACTACCTGGAAGCAGCCAGAATGTGACATGATAACTTGATCATGAAAAGCATATTGTATATTCAATTACTCATGTTTGACCGTTGAATGACTTGAAGGAGAGAGAACTAGACCGCCTTAATGGGAGAAAAACACATTTATCATATGGACATAGATGTTTGTGTACTTATAAGCACCAATGTACACACTGGCATATGAAAGAGAGAGAGAGAGGGAGACCACAATAATTGTCTTTCTTGTATTTGCAGATATCAAAGAAGATTGTCATCTGATCAAGTTTACTCTTTCAATGAGCAGCAACTTTTTAAAATGAACATTTTTGAGTGTAGGCGTAACGCATTGCAAACTGTGTACTGTAAAACTGAGACTACAATTCAGTTAAATACTATATTAAATGTCAAGTACAGGAGGAAATCCCATAGTGAAAATGAATGCAAATAGCTGGAAGGTGTTTTAACTGTAATTGCCTTCTGTACGCATATAGCTAAAAGTACCTTGTAATCACAACAGGAGTTCCTTTATCAGAAGAATGAACTGCCGCCTTTACTTTTGTGGTCATGCCGCCTCTTCCCACCCTCGATTTGTCCCCAAAAGTAATCTCCTTCTGATGTGTTTCCTTAATGTATGTATGTATGATCCTTGAATGAGGTTCACCGGGCGGGCCACTATACAGGCCCTCAACATCACTAAGCAAGACGAGGAGATCAGCCTTCAACTCCAGAGCCAGTAGGGCTGCTAAGCTATCATTGTCCCAAAAGATACCAGAGGAATCCTGAAAATAAGACACTTTAAGGTGAAGACAGATTTAAGAGGCAGGATGACTCGAAAACATGTTAAAAGCCAACAAGGGATCCTAACCATGATAGACAGCAGGAAGTCCAAGGGCCTATAGTTTATGGACCTTAGGGTATATTTTTAAGTTTCAATGTTATGTCCTGTCTTCTTGGTGTGATACGTCAAAGAAGAAACTGAAGCTTGAAAACTTAACTAATAAACCTAAATGAAATCATCAATAGCTTATGTGGACTTCTTAACCATTCTCTTGAGTGATAGGAATATTAGAAACAAATTTTGTTTGTAAGTTGCATAATAGTTATTGACATTTCTAAAGAAAAAGAACACCAAGGAAGTATTATAAAAAACAAACCAAATGAGAAAAAGAATTCCTCATTGAAGGTCCATATGGAAATACACCTGTACAGCATTGGAAGGTATAATTGTCATTGAATGACAATGTACCTCATAAGGAGCTCTCCGCGTGCTGATTGCATCATTTTCATTAAAAACAGGAACGACTCTGAGATTCAACAAGGAATTGACAGTATCAATAAGCTGCATCCTGAAGCCTGGGTCTTTAAAATCCCTATCAGTCACGACAAGTTGAGATGATGCCACGTCCAGCTGCATAGAAAATGCATTAATTAAGAATGTTAAAAAAATTATCATGATATAGATTGCCATTCAGAGGATTAAAGAATAAATAAACAAATAATGATAAAAAAGCATAATATAATTTTTTGCAAAAACACCTTTAGGAGCATACCTGACTGAATAAGGCATCATACAAAGCCATGAGGCCACTTTGACCAACAGCTGCACAAGCCTTTCCATCCAATTCTTGTTGTGGCTTCTGTAAATCGGCAAAGCTGAAAAATAAAAGTCATTCCGCAATCTGAGAAGCAGATCATAATTATAGGTGGATTTGTTGAGTAAAATTTGAAGTTTCTTTTACCCAGGAAACCCTTTTCTATTTTGCAAGATAGAAAATTATGGACTCCATTTTAATTGGAAGTCTTCACTTATAATTGATGGGCCATAGCTATTTCTTATCATAGCAGTGGGTACCCTCCTAAGTTTGGCTAGTTTATTAGCAATCTGGAACTTCTTTGTGTAACCATGCATGGGTTTCTATCATGAAGTATGATAAATACATAAAGATATTTTGCGACCTTAGTAGTTATATCTATAATGATCTCAGTCATGGATTTTAGAGAGGGGGAAAAAAAATCAAAACTAAGACTTAATCCCTTGACCAACTAATCTTTATGCACATCCCATAGATTCATTTAGAGGGGAGAAAATTCATGTTTATAGGACAAATTTTGAGAGGAAAAAAATTACCGATATGGACAAATGATATTTGTTCCGCCTGCAGTTTATGTTAAAAGAGTATGTGTGACTCAATTATTCAATTCAAAAGTCTATGCTCAAATTATATGATAGTTTGAACCGTACATGATAGTTTGAACTATACATACATTATTCAAAAGCCATTTTCTCAAATTATGCGATAGTTTGAACTACACAAAGGTATACGCAAGTGTTTATACCATAATTCCATTAATAAAGATAATATTGATGGAGACTTGGTGTAAGGAATAAGGATGTAAACCTGCTGTTGACCAATCTCCTGTACTTTAACCTCTGACGGCCAACACCAACTGCACCAGAAGTGACCAGGATTACCTCAAACCCTTGACTGTTCAGTTCTTTAAGCTGTAAGGTTCTCTTGTCAGTTATATAAGATTAGAATTGGATGCAGATCAGAGTCATGGATTCCTTGTCAGCAATAAATAACATGAGAGTCGGCTCGGAGAATAAGCAAGCGAAGATTTACCTGCTCGCAAAGAACTCCTATTCTTCCGACGGCTAATCTTCCATCAGACCTAGTCACAACGGCCGTACCAACCTGCACAGAGACCAACTCTGTAAGCTAAATGGCTCTTAACATGCAAGTAATTAAATAAGTAACTTCCATGCTTGCACGATATCGTGCATTTCATCAAACACTGCACTGGTGGTAATAAGTAATCAAAATTTGTAATTTTAAAAGGCCAGAAAGTGAATTGCGTCCCCAAGCTACTCCAGAGGTTAAATTTTAGAAGAACATAGTGAAGTTTTTATGCAATTGAATACAAAGATTAAAAAGCAGCTCTGGCAGTGAATACAATTTGCTTTAAAGCAAGCGGGGGAAAACATAACCTTGTTACGTTAAAATTAGATTACACAACGCAAAATAAGATCAAGAAAAGGACGCCGATCTAATTGAAACAAAAGAGAAATTAACAAAAATATGTTTTTTTTTTTTTTTTTGCCTTTTCACAGAAATAAAAGTAATATCATTTTAATCGACAAGAGGTAAAAAAAAAATCCAAAATAAATTTAAAAAAACAGTTTCTAGTTAAATGGGCAAATATATAGGTATTTAAATTTAAGTCAAGAACTTTTTTTTTTGGTTCAGATAAAAGGAATAATTTACAGATCAGTAAATTGAAAAAGAAAAGAAAAACAAAATTGATGAATTAAAATGGCAGAAAAATTAAAAAGAGATCACGCACTTTGACGATAATGCGCTTCGCATCTTTCACGAACAACCTCGTCGGATCCATTTCCGATCGATCAAAGGACTCCAAAAATAATAAAAAAAAATTTAAAAAAAAGGGGAAATCCAAGCGTCAGCTCTCTCGCCTTTTTCTCTCAAATATTATTATTACGCAACGAAATGAGGGGTGGTAGGAGGCCCGCGCTCTCGGTTTGTGTAAATCTGGGTCTCAACCCTCGAAGTTATATAGAGTGGCGCTACGCTGCGAGCGCGGCGAGCTTCCATTGGCCCGCCCGTCCTCCCCTGGCTCTCGTGATCCAGCGGTGCGGATTCCCGAGACTGTCCCCTTTTATTTATTATATTACTTTTTTTTTTTTTGAGTTTTTTCAACGTTAGATCCTTAATTGTTTCATACTTACAAATAAGTACATCAGATAATTGAAATTGCTAGACCCTCAACTAGGGTGCATTCTGTCCGGATACGGCTCGGAGAGAATGCTTACCATATTCATATCCGCTTACCAATTTTAAATACGGATACGGATACGGATATACCTCGGTAAGAAAAATTCATATCCATATCCGATACGGTTACGGATATAGATGCGGATACGAAATATATATGAAAAAACTAGATAGTATTGAGAAAAATATAGTTCGTGTGATACAAAAGGGGTCATTAATAAGTTCATTATAACTAAAAAGCTAAGATTAGACATATTGATCGTCAAATTTAACCACAAATCTATAATTTAAGAATCGAAACTATCGTAAGAGTGTGACTAATTTGTATTCGGATATTTCGGATACGGATACGGATATTTCACTACAAAACTATATACGTAGCCATATCCTATCGGTTATAGATCTGAGCAACCATATTCGCATTCTAACGGATACGGTTATGGATATTTCCTCGGATGCGGATACGGTTTAGCACCCCTCCCCTCAAACTCTTAAATTTTTTTGAAATTAACCCTTCCAATCAAGAGTAGAAGTTGCATGTTGGAGGGGTTAATTGAAATGTCTTATGGAAACTTGATAACTTAGTACAAATTTTAATAACTTAGTGAACTAGTTTCTCACTATTTTGCTACTTTCATGCTTGATGTGAGGAATGAGTTTCAGAATAACCTTCGAACTAAGAGACCAAATAGCAATGCCAGTGATTTGAGGGAGCAATGTTAATGAAATGGGTGTCTAATTTCAAAATATGAAATCTTAAGGGCTCGAATGGAAAAACATCTAGTTTTTTTTTTCCCGTCATAGAGCAATTTTCCACCGTCTGTAGAACTCCTTAAATCTTACGTGGTTTTCTTCTAACTTTTTCAGCAGTTGATCGATCGAGGGTTTTTTCTTAAAAAAAAAAAGTTGACGCTGTGCAAATCACCTCAAAGTTAGGGTTTTTTTTAAAATTATTTTTTACTACCAGACCAGGTGCAGGAGATAGGGACGAAGATTCGTTGAAAAAATTTCGTTGTTTTCATGCATATCGCCATTTGCAGACCCACACGTGTCCTCTTCACTCCCTCACTCCTCCATTAGAGGTGGGTGAGTTTTGGAAGATACCGTATTTATCTATTTTCATCTTAATTTGAACAGAAATTTGTGAGGTGAGCATCAGACTTGTGCCATCAGAGTTCATCCGAATCCAACGGCGACAAAAGTCTGCATAAATGGAGTCATTTTCAATCATTCTGTGTCGAATTGCCGATTCTTTCATCCAAACCTATTACGCTTAGCCAAGTGTCTATATATATATATATATATCAAAGGGTGGTAAGAGTTTGCTCTCCTTTTTTTTTCTTCTTCTTTTTTTTTTATTAAATGTGCTAGCTATAAGATAATTTTCTTATGGTGTGTTTAGGAGTTTACTAAGGGAAGAGAAGGGAAGGTAAACAACGGGAAAGGAAGGGAAAGGAAGAGAAGAGAATTGTAATATGTTGTTTGCGAGTTGAGTAAGGTGAATGAAGGTGAAAGGAAGTAAATATATGTAAATTTACATAAATAACTTTATACTAATAACACATCAGCCTTTTTATTTGTTTTGATGGGGTAAGAATGTCATTACACCCTTTTACCCTCATTTACCCTCCTCTACCGCCCAAATCAGGGGGGAAAGAAAACCAAACAATTTTACCCTCCGTTCCCCTTCCTTCCTCCTCTCTACCCTCCTTAAAAAAACTCCCAAACAAGGTGAAAGCCTCATTTCTCTTCCCCTCCCCCTCTCTACCCTCCATCCAAACAGGGCATTACCCTCCATCCAAACAGGGCATTAGGTAAATAATGGCCATCGCATATGCATGCATGTAAGTTTTTGACCTCTGCGTTGATGAAAATTAACGCCAGGTCTGAACTGTGCGTTCGAAAGCTTAACGCAGAGTTTGACCTCTGCGTTGATGAAGATTAACGCCAGGTCTGAACTGTGCGTTCGAAAACTTAATGCAGAGTTTGACCTCTGCGTTGATGAAAATTAACGCCAGGTCTGAACTGTGCGTTCGAAAACTTAACGCAGAGTTTGACCTCTGCGTTGATGAAAATTAACGCCAGGTCTGAACTGTGCGTTCGAAAACTTAACGCAGACTTTGACCTCTGCGTTGATAAAAATTAACGCCAGATCTGAACTGTGCGTTTGATAATTCTCTTTCTTATGGGCTCAAATAAAATTCCCTTAATGAAGGTGAAAGGAAGTAAATATATGTAAATTTACATAAATAACTTTATACTAATAACACATCAGCCTTTTTATTTGTTTTGATGGGGTAAGAATGTCATTACACCCTTTTACCCTCATTTACCCTCCTCTACCGCCCAAATCAGGGGGGAAAGAAAACCAAACAATTTTACCCTCCGTTCCCCTTCCTTCCTCCTCTCTATTCTCCTTAAAAAAACTTCCAAACAAGATGAAAGATGTATTTCTCTTCCCCTCCCCCTCTCTACCCTCCATCCAAATAGGTCATTACCCTCCATCCAAACAGGGCATTAGGTAAATAATGGCCATCGCATATGCATGCATGTAAGTTTGAAGTCGGCTGTTTCTGGGAGAGGTTTTGTTCTGGTCGGGTCATGGGAAGAGGGGCCCATCTGAACCCGAGGACAAAACTTTAATAAAACGTCAAGTGATCTCCTCAAAAAATCCTGCTTAAATTCTTGAGGTGATGATTAAATCTTTTTCTAGTCCTTTGGTGCTTTGCCAAGTGTGGTACGATTGAAACCCACCATCGATTTTGACCGATCGATCCATCGGTATATGGATGAAGGAGGCTGCAGGTTCCATGAATTTAATTAGGGGCTGGGTTTTATCAAGCCCATGTTTTACTTGGTCTTTAATTTCTATGGATCCATCGGTAGTATATGGATTCCTAATCATTGATTGATTAAGCAGAAGGATCGAGTTGGGTCATCTGCTGATGCGCGCGCTATAACTGATGCAAGCCGCATTTTCCTAATTTCTCAGTCACGTATGAATCCTTTATTCCGTGAACACTTGACTCCTTGTATAACCTAACACTAGCGTGCACCCCGTGCAAAGCACGGTCTTCGTTTTTTTATTTCCGCCACAGTAATTCTGTATTTAAATACAGTTCTTGTAAGTGTTACAGTAATATCTTTTTTAAATGCTACAATATCCCACATGAGCTATAACAACACTGTTGCAGTAATGTTCTTAAACACTACAGTTTCCGATCACGCTGTAGTAATAATGCTACAGTAATTTGCTGTAGCATGGATGGTAGATCTTGAATCCTCCTGTTCATGCTACAGTAACAATACCTAATAATTTGTTGTATTATTTACTGTAGTATGGATAGTGAATCTTGGATCATTCCATTATTATAGAGGAATAGATTTATCATCTCTCTCATGATTTTTACAGGTGTCTCTGCGTTTACTCAGCATGAGACTGTTGCGCGTAGCGGAAATTTCGGCAGCACTTCGACAGCACAACAAGAGAGTCAGGTCGCAATAGGAATTCTCGTTTCACAAAGAAAACAAGAACCTTAAGCAAAATCGACAAGTGTCGGCCTTGGAACCTTGCTTATTCTCACGGGGATATCCTTTAGGAGAAACAGCTAGCCCAACTAACACTTTCATGCGACGATTTTTGGCCGCCAAAGGAGAATTCCCAACTGCCGTATTCCGAGCTACTGGATGGGTACATTCCACCAAAGCAGGATGGTGGGCACGAATGATAGAATTCGTGTTGGCAGAATTGAACCTTAAGCAAAATATCTCAACAAAGTGGGATATCAGCTCTTCCTCTCATCAGTTCTAGGACTGACTTGTGGAGAGAACCTAAATAAACTATTGCAAATCACACAAATGGCGAGACAACCAATTTTACGTGGTTCGGCAAATTGCCTACGTCCACGGGGAGAGGATGGGGAGATTTCACTAATTCAAGGAGAGTACAAATGGTTACAATCTCACAAAACTCACAAACCAACCCTCAACCAAAGCTCTCAACTTGCTCACAATATCTCCCTCTCACAATGCTCAAAAGTCTCTCTAATCTCTGATTACAACTCTCCTCTATTTTGTTGATTGATTCTAATCTCTATATATATAGAAAAACTAAAACCAAAACAGACTAAGAATCCTAAAACCAAAAACAAAACAAATTAGGAATGAGCTGAAGATCTTGAAGGAGACGATCCCCGAGGTATATGACACTCTATGGGAGGTGATGTGTCATTTCTAAATCTGCGGCCAACTGACAGGGGCATGCGGACGTGGTATCAAACAGCTATCCTGGGCCGAGTATCTTTTCCAAAATTTGTCTAACAAGGCTGTCACTAGGAATCCTAATAATCTCATGTTACCAAAATAGATTAAGAATCCTAATAACCTCATGTTACCAAAATATATTAGGAATACTGCTATCCAACAATTCTCCACCTCGACAAAGTATTCCCAAAACCGAGCTGACTCCAATATGAGCACCAATGCGTCGTCTCACCAAATTCGGCTACACCAATGTGGTTGCCTACATACTCCCTCTTCCAAGGAATCAAGCCGCCCGTAGTTCATCCAAATGGCCGTCAACGGCCTCAACAATCACGAATGTGCAACAAGTTTCGATAATGATTAAACTTGTTGCTCGGAACCATCTTAGTGAGCATATTCGCCAGATTATCCTTCGTATGGACTTTCACAATCTCCACATCGCCATCTTCAAGAACATCTCGAACAAAGTGATAACGAACGTCAATATGCTTCATCCTTGTATGAAAAACCTGATTCTTCGCCAAATAGATAGCACTCATGCTATCACAATGAATAGTGACGGACCACTGTGATATACCAAGTTCCTCCAAAAGTTCTCGA